AAGCACAGCAGAGTTAGCCACCATGCTGTTTAAAGTCACAATTGCTTCCACTCTAACAAAGTAAAGAAAAGGCAAGGAAGCAGGAAACACCCAGTCACCTTTGTTTTTTACTTTTCTGTCAACACCCCCTCAATTCATCTATTTTGAAGTTTACCACCTATGCCCTGAGGTGAGGCCCTTATCACAAAACCTGAACTTCTCTAGTAATATTTTTCATTGATCATTTTGACTTCAGGCTTCTTCCTCGATTCCATCATAGCTCCTATTTCTGGCTTGATCTTTCTCAAGGAGGGTTGTAATTCTAATATTCCCTGTCCAAAAACCTTTGATGGCAACACATTGCCTTTCAACCTTAAATTTAAACTTCTCACCTGAGTTATCCATGCTCTGGTCCTATCTTTCCAAACATTTCTCCCATACCTTCCTTGTACATATCATATGACCAAACAGATAATCCAGTCCATCCTTAAGGCCCAGCTCAACTTATTACTCCTTTCAAGATATTTGATTGTTCCTTTCTCTGTGGTAAAAAGACAATAGGCTTTGGAGTCGTTTGCCTAGCACTAAACATCTGTGTGAACAAGACAGTAACTTGTCTGAATTTCAGTTTCTTTGTTTATACAACAAGTGACCTCTCTTCCCTTCATTAACATGTAAATGAGGTAACCAGTTACTTCCTTTCTGCTGTATGCACATTTGTACAGTTGTTAAGACTTACCAGTTTTCATAGTAGGAAGTCAAAAGACAATCTCTACCATTAAAAATCAAGAAATAGCAAGATAATCATGTTCTTTAGAATCATGCAAAGAACAAAGAATTAGGCAACTGGGAATTAGGGTGAGGCTGGGGAACACACCACTGTTGTGCATCACAAAAATCAGTACTATCTTGATTTTGACAATTATGTCTTGGACTACATTGATAAAAGTAAAAAAGTGAGTAATATTTATCAACATAATAAAACTTAAATTGGGCATTAGCCTGGGAGGGGGAGTGGGGAGATATGTTTAACAGGTGCAGAGTTTCAATTTTGGAAGATGAAGGTTCTCTGGAGATGGATGGTGATGATGGTAACACAATAGTGCCAGTGTACTTAATGCTACTGATCTGCACACTTAAAATGTTAAATGATATGTTATGTGCATTTTATCATACTTATTAAAAATAGTAAGTTTAACAAAAATTTAAATTTAGAGTCATCTCAGTGTGTGGGTTAGGCTGTTCCTCTAAAGCAGGGGCCACCAGTTCCTGTTTGCCAGATATGTCTGTTCCTTTGTTTTACATTTTTTAAAGTTAACATTTTAAATCTTATATGAATGCTTCATAATAGCCTTTGATCCCTCAGAGCCTAAAATACTTATTTTCTAGCCACTGTAAGAAAAATTTGCCAATTCCTGCTCTAAAGAAATTGTCAGATCATTGTGCAAGCTCTGCCACTAACCTACTCTCTGCCTCACAAAAAGCATTTAAAAAATTTGGACATTTCCCCAAGCTTAAAAGAGGTGATATTTGCCCTTTCAAGAAGAGGTGTGTAAGGATCCAAAAGATAGTAAAACTGTGAAACACAGGTCTCATGCTTGTTGTGCTTTGCAGAGACTGACAGTTGTCCTTATTTGATTATTCTGTGTTCAAAGCAAGTTGATTTGCTACTCAATTTCCTGTACTTAGTTGGGCAGAAGTTGTTGGGAGTACCGAAAGCCTAAAGCCAAAGTCCCAAACATTTAACTGATAAAACAGTTGGAAAACTCTGAAATTAGTGGTAAAACTAAAACATGGTTGGTATGTGATAAAAAGGCTACCCTCGAGTCAGGATTAACGGTACTTAGTAAATCAAACACTGCATATTTTTTGTGCCTTCTTGGTGTGAAGATTGGTGTCTTCTTGTTGGAAATAACTTTTTTCTAGTCTTTAAAGAAATTAACTTAATTGATTTGAACTGTTTCATTTTGGTCAGAGTATCTGAAAGCCTTTTTGTTCCCAGGAGGGGGTTATTTGATTGCCGAAAATGCTTCCAAAAGGGCCAACTGGCAGGAACAGTTTGGCTATTTCCAAACCAGTTGGTAGACTTCAGAGCCCTGTGGTTTTTAATTTAGTAAAGGTCCAGGAAGTGAGTCTAAATGTTTGGTCCCAGGAAATAGTTATCTGCAACTTACTGTTTTCAGTTACATGCCTTCCATCATTTTTCAACTAATAAACAGCAGTGAGGCCATCTTAACTTTTGCTTTGGGTTGAATCAGAACAGATTGGAGTATTACATTTTTATAATTTGCTTATTACACTCAAAAAGTGTAGGTCTATTAACTGAGCCATAGTGATGTTGTTGCAGATAGCTTAGCTTTTATTCTGCACTTTGTAGTTTTTTTCCATTTTAAGAATTAGGTCTAATTATAGTTCATTTTCTTTTTTATTGACCTGACAGGTCAAAAATAAATGGTAGGTCTTTATTCAACTGAACTGTTTTAAGTTATATTTCAGACACACTGAATACAGTTGCAAATTCAACTGTAATGACTAGTCGTAACTAAAGCAAGATGATACAGAGATTTGGACTTCAAGAAGACACCACCTACTGAAACGTTTTTGATGTTTCTGATCCCCACCACACACACACACACACACACGTACGTGACATTTAGAGATGATGTAAGCAGTCTCTGTATGGATCTGTTTGAGAGAGATAAATAGGGTATTTCATAGTGGAAACCTAAGCAGGTTAGCTATCAGAACTCTCCAGAGGCTGTTTGGAAGGAGTGTCCCTTTAATCTGTTAGCTGAAACCATCTGGCAGGATATCATTGCAGAAATGATTGGCTTGAAGTAAATGGAGCAACATCACTGAATCACAGGCTTTAATGTCCCCTACCTCTAGTAAGGAAATCACTGGACAACAGCTGCATTTCCTTTGCTTTCCTAAAACAACTTTAGGTACAATATAGGCTACCTTAAGTTTATGGTCCTTACCTGTTTGTGAAACTCTAGAGAACATCAAGTATTTATTAGAAGTTTGAGTACCCCCCATTTGTCTTAGTAGATTTGGGTGCTTTCTTCAGTTAATTGGTTGAAACAGTTTTGTTTCTGCGTTTTAAATAAAACATTGTTAATCTTTAAATGTTTTTCAACTAGTGCAGTGATTCCAAGAGCCTCATTGCTCAATATTTGCAATAGAATATTGTCTGAACACATCAGTGTGGGAATGGGGGGACAGCAAAGTTGATACTTCATCAGCACCTAATTCAAAGCTTCGTTATCACCTCTACTTCAGTCTTCCAAGTTAGGATTTTGAGAACCTGTAGAGTCCAAAGATTAATACCATTTCCATAGAGGGTGTGCCCTTGTTTATATATCACTTTAAATCAATTGATAGTGCCAATTAAGTCTAAACTGTTACAACTAGCAGGAAATTATTGATCTGGCTGGGACTTCAATGGTAATAAGCATAAGATCTTTTTATAAGTATTAACAAGTCTGATTGAGAAAAGTCAAACTGTTAATGCTGATAATCTTAGTTACAAATTGTGACATTAAAAGTTATTTTATTACAAATATGAAATATAGTATATATATTAAAGAAGTCATTTAGGGACTTTGTCTCCTGATTGGTTTCTTGTGTTTCTTTTAAAAGTTTTACTCTCCTGTTTGGGACAGAGTATTTATAAACATGAATGGTTATGTCTCAATTCTGAGATACTCGTGTTTAATCCATTGATGTTAGGACACGATGCAATACAAATTTTATTTTTCTTTCTCTCAGGTGGTCTTCGAGGGGTAGCACGAGGTGGTCTAGCAGGACTAACACTTACTAGCCTCTATGCACTGTATAATAACTGGGAGCACATGAAAGGCTCCTTGCTCCAACAGTCACTCTGAAGATTTTACCAACCTGCAAATGGAGGACACTTCAGTGGTTATCCAGATCAGTTTATGAGTTAATGTACAGTTCTCTTATATCTACAATTAGGTTGAAAAATTATGCAGATACTGATTTGCTGTGATTAAGATTGTTGACCAGACTGGCTCTCCTTCCAGCCATTGAGTTGAAGCCAAAACCCTTTGGTGGCTGAGTAGTAATATGGTTGTCTTTGAAGATCTTGTGCCTGTTCTTTCCTACCTGCTGAATGGAAAACTACTTACTCCCATTATTCTGTTTGTTCAATACCATATCACATTTGTTCATTTAATGATCAAAAACTGTAATGTTGTCCTGCGTTCCCAATAAAGGGTGAAAACAGAACCAAAGTCCACTCCAGTGTAAATATAATGGATGTCTCTATTGAAAAGCATCTTTCTGGGTTTAAAATGCAATTTACTCTTGGCGTTTTTTTCTACCCCAGTTAGGCTGAAACACATTTTCATGTTTTGTGTTGAAATAAAGGGTCACTGGCAGCAATAATAGCTAGGTTAGAATTTTCCTTCTACAGAGATGATACTAAACCTCAAGGTAGTTCAGATTAAACATTATACCACTAGAATAACTTGCTAGAACAATCTGCCTGACAATCATACTTAAATTTGTATGCATTAACCCCCTTACTGGGGATAATTAGGGAAAAAAAAAAAGGATGAAATAAACAAGAGCTTTTAAGTTTTTAAGGAAGCCTTGGGAAAGCCAAAGGAAATATGGGCAAGTTACTTCTGTTTTGTCCTCTAATAAAATTGCACAGCAGGTTATACATAACATAATAAATGCTAAACAGCTGGTGGTTATGATTGGAAAAAGTGGGGCCTTTTCAGATACATGTAGTAAGGGATTTGTCACAAAAGCTCTGAACTTAAGATTAAAAGGAGTCGATATGAGGAGTTTGCAGGAAGAAACTGAAAATGAAAGTTAGTAGCAATATACCTGTTCTTGCTTATTTAAGATTCATAAAATTCGTTGGCATTTTATTGAATATAAAATTTTTATGTTCAGTTTATCATCTGTACTAACTAACCAAAGATTATCACATTTACATAATGTGATAGAATATTTTGTTACAAGGCACTTTTACAAGTACACACAACTGTTTGTTAATGCTTTTAATGGGGAGGTACAAAATGCATAATGCAAAAGACTTACATACTCATTAGCATAGTGATTAATGTAAACTTAGGAATACACACTGTTAAACCTCAAAAACTACAAAGTGTCCTGCAACCTAAAATAATGAAAAGGATCCCTAAGTTTTTACCCACTACCTTTATTAAAATTCTAAATTAGGTTGGGGGAGGGGGAACTAAAAATAAACAGCTTTTTTCAGCTGTGGTTCAAGAATTCCAGTAAAGCTGTATGGCAATTGATACTCTGTGAAATTTCTCCAAAAGGGCTTTCTGGATGACAACATCACAAACTAAAAGTATTTCCAATACCACATACCTAGGCAAGCTGAGTGGCTTAATAAATTTAAAGGCCTGGTGGAAAGAAGTTATATTAGAAAGCTTAAAAAAACATAAATACCATTTCTCCCCTGCAGAGAAACTTTTTTTAAAGTATGAACATTACTTTAAGGATCTTGAGAAAATATCAGCTTTCATAAAGCTTCAGTGAACACCCCAAGGCACAAGCGTTCAAAATAGCCTGTTCTCTAAATGTCTCTGCATTTTCAGAGGTAAAGGTAGACTGTACTTGCAGTAAAAGGGCATTTAATTTAACCCTAGTTAAAAGCACCAGGTAAGTGTCTAGCTCAACTTCCATTATACACAGGATACTGTACCAATAACCATTAATAGTTCAAGTGCTACATTTCCAACCTGTCCTATCTTTTGCTTTTTGATCAGTGGGCATGGGGACTCTTCCCTGCATTTCTTCAGAATATTTCCAAAGACATTAGGATTACCCAGGATGTTGTCTTGAAGCAATTCAGAGCCCTTCTAAAAGAGCTCACTAGATACAACACTTAGAGAAGGAAATAAAGACAAAATTTGCAGTAACTAAATTTCTTCCAAAAGAAAATACTGTAGAATCTGATGTGTGGGCTAAATGTTTTGTAATTTATGTTGAAAATTGCCAAGATGCTGATACATGCTTTGGTTTAAAAAAAAAAATCACTGTATTCTCTCGGTAATTCTTTATATGAAATACACTATATATTAATTATAAGAAATTATTTCCATCACTAATGGAAGAAAACCCACAGCAAAGGAAGCATTAAAAAGGGTAATAAAAAGGTTAAATAAATTCACTAGCTTCTTTGAGCAACACCTTGATAAGAAAACTATTTTTTTAAGAAACTACAGTGTTTTTAATGTACTAGTAACAACCCAATGTAAGGAGCCATGAAGCCTTATGAAAGAAATACCCACCATAATGCTGCATTTCTACTGTAAGAGTGAATTAATTCTTTACAAGAAGGAACTGAATCACCTCAGCCATCAAAAAATAGCGGGGTTTTTTTCCACAGTAACTAATAATTTGATGACTTATTTTTCTTCATTAGTTGAAAATTAGATAAAGGAACTAAGCTGACTGGTCACACCCAGAAACAATGATTTGGCAAGCTGCAGTCACTCGGCTTATGAAGTGTGAGAATTTGCAGAAGAGTTGCTTGACTCTAATACTCCGTTCCTTCACATCTGTAAAGAAAAGCCCGCAGATAAAAAGTCACTCACTGTAGAATAAAAACATTTCTCCCCAACTCAAAAGTGCTGACTCATTCATCTCTGAGTAAACTATTAGAACCCATACAGGCTCTAAAAATGCCCCTGACACAACTTAACTACCTTGAAAGGTCATGTTCAGATATGTCCTAATTGTTTCCTTGAGCAAGTTTGGGTGAAATAAATGAAACTTTATTATTTTCCCGTCCCTTTATGATTTTTCTCTCCCACCCTTACTTACCTAATATTCATTCCATTAAAATGATTATGGTTAAATGGGAAAGTATGAATTCATGTATGACAAAACATTTATAACCAGTAAAGTCTAATATTTACACCCGTGGCATGTACCCACCTGAAGAGGAGTACGATACAACCACTTTTCTTTATCAACTTTAAGTTGCATACAGGCAAAGAGATCACAAACTGCTGGGAAGCCATAACAGTCTGGGGGAAAGTTATGTTCCTCCTGTTGGGGTGAATTAAGCAATACTTCCTGCAAGAAAATGAAAAAGGTGGGTTGCTACAAATAATCTTCCCAATAATATGGTGTCTATGAAGAATAATGTAAGTCTTGGGCATGCTCTCTAATAAGAGCAGAGGTAACAATCGCTTCCCCTACTCCTAAATCTTTTCCATAATTAGCAATAAAAACAGGCTGGGGTTTTATTGCAGCCAACCCCGGCCCCACAGGATGGGGGCTGGAAACTAAGAAAGAAAATGCACAAAAACTGACCTAAATAATAAATTCTCCATTCTGTTGCTAACATGGCACTAAAATTAATACTTAAGCCAATTACAATATTTAACATGTTTTTAAGGATCTGGGCCATTTGCAAGGTTTGGGATTAAGAAAGTAAAAACCTATTAACTATATTTCAAATGTTGCTATTTTGATGTCTCTGCTCACCTTGGCCTTTTTTCGAAGCAGCCACTTATCTTCTCCTGAGGATAACTGACTGAGGTTTCCTGTCTTCTTTGTTGGCAAGACCCAGTCAGCTGTGTTAAAGGGACACCAGGGAGGGGCCACAGGGCTGGTAAGCTTTTGTTTGCCGGCTTGGTCCTCAGTGATAGGCACTTCCTTGGGGTGTCCTTTGCATGCAGGTGTGATAAGCCATTCTGACAAGGGACTATTCCTTATCACTTTGAGGGAATCAGCAATTCTAGAAGGAGCCACTGCTTTTGGTATCTTAGCTTGTTCTGTTGCCTCTTTTCTGGAAGGACAAAGCCACATACTTAGGGAATCTATACATTTCTCAGATTCAGATTTTGGTTCCAGTGGCATACCATTTTTATCCTTTCCTTCTTTCTCCAGCAGCCATTTACAAAGAGCTTCCCTCTCACAATTTTCATCACACACACACTCTGCAAAGCTTGTACAGGGCTCATTGGCTTTGCAGACCTCCTCTATTTTATATGGGTCTTGATGGTTCTGGACAAGCCAATCCTCAATAACCATGCTGGGAGTAGGCAAGGGTTTCTTGGCCTCCATGTAGTCATTCAAGCACTTCAGATTGCCCAGGTTTTCGATCTCCACACCTCTGTGCTGGTTGCCCTGACAATTGGTACAGGAATCAGGCTTGACAAGCCAATCATTCACACTGTAAGACTCTTGGAACACCTGGAACAAGAGCTTAAACCTCTCACTGGTTGCACAGCTGCTATTCCCAGGCTTCTCCAGCTTTTGGGATTCCTGGGGAGTCACCAACCAATCAGAAAGATCCACCTCATCTTGATCAAGCAGCTCCAGATTCTCAACCTTTTCAGTATCAATAGAATAAGAACTGGTGGTAGAATCACTGCTACCCTTTTGGTAACTTGGTCTTTCGGGAACTTCTTGATGCCGACTCTTGTGGAGCCAGTTTTCCAAGCCCTTTAGGTTGCCCCAGACATTACTGAAGAAATTGCAGGCTCTGGCAGAAGTCTACACAAAAAGTACACAGTATTAGTTTACCAGAATATTATGACTGCTTTGGGATTCATGACAAAAAGAGTTCTATTTGCCTATTTACTGTATTGCCCAATGTTTCTAAATTTACACAAAGCCAAGAGACAAGGGATTTCTCTGTTGCAATAATAAAATACATATTTAAGTACATAAAAATATAATTTTCTATTTAAAAAAACAAAAGTACAGGCAAACTGGGGGAAACCATCTGTAGCAAGACAGAAAAGTTCTAACACAATATGCCTTTATGAATAAAAAAATGAGCAAGATACTAGGCAAATCATAAAACAGGCAAACTTTCACTCAATTTCCTTAATAATCAAATAAATTCAAAACAACTGTTACCTTTTTGTCAGATTGGGGGGGACCAATGACAAATGGCAACCCATAGCTGCCATTTAGAGAAGTTTCTGTGAAGCAAGTACACTCAGTACTCTGCTGACAGAAATAGAAATTGGTATCAATTTCCAGGAAGCCAAATTGGCAATATGTACCTAAAACTGCAATCTACTAATGCAATTTCTAGGAATTTAATTCTACAGAATTAATAAAGAATGTATAGAAATATTAACTCCTTGCCCTGGCTGGCATAGCTCAGTGGATTGAGCGCGGGCCTGCGAATCAAAGGATCATGGTTCGACTCCCAGTCAGGGCACATGCCTGGGTTGCAGGCCAGTTCCCAGTAGGGAACACATGAGAGGCAACCATACACTGATATTTCTCTCCCTCTCTCCTTCCCTTCCCCTCTAAAGATAAATAAATAAAATCTTTAAAAAAAAAAAGAAATATTAGCTCCTGGATGTTTAGAGAAAATTTATATCCAGAAAAACTGGAAATTCAGTTACAACCAATATATCCAGAAAAACTGGAAATTAAGTTAACAACCAATCGATAATACACTACACTATTAAGGATTTTATGGAAGGGATTATATGATAAGAAAAGTATATTCATGCTCTATTAGTGAAAAGTAACCAAAAGATGATTTTTTTTAAGTATATGTATGGACACAAAAATGAAGTATATAAATGCAAATGTTAGAGTGACTGTCTCTGAATGTTGGGATTATGGGTTCGTATTTCCTTATACAGTTGTTTGTTTTCTAAACTGTCTATCCATGGTGAAGAGGTGTCATGTTGTTACTAAAAATTACTAAAAATACTTATTTCCAGAACAGAACTAAAAACTAAACAAAAACATACTGTGTGTTAGAAACTAACCCCATCTACTTCTACATCTACCTCAGAAACAATAAAGTAGCAACACACCTGATTATTCTCCAAGGTATGCTTTTGAGTGAGCCAGTCCTGCAGATTGGTGCTGGGTGCGTAAGAAGTCTGATGACCACTGGCAGGTTTGCTTCCAAGGAGCCATTCACTGAGAGGGACAGCTGTGGTGCCAGATGCTGACTTCTGCTTAATCACACAACAATTTGCTACTTAACAAGGCAATGTTAAGTGCAGAAAGAAGTTCACCAGAAAAGGAGATCCAAGCTCTCTAATCTTAGCTGGCCACTGACCCTTCTTCACATATTATATGACTTCCCTAAACCTCCATTTTCACAATTATAAAACAAGGAGTATCGCCCTGGCTGGTATAACTCAGCAGGCCTGCGAACTAAGGGATCACAGTTCGATTCCCAGTCAGGGCACATGCTTGGGTTGCAGGTCAGTTTCCAGCAGGGGACACACGAGAGGCAACCGTACATTGATATTTCTCTCCCGCTCTCCTTCCCCTCCCCTCTAAAAAACATAATTAAAAAAAAAAAAAAAAAAACAAGGAGTATAGCTGAGCTCTGGGATTCTTCTCAACTGAAAATGTCTAGAAACCAATATTCCAGTTGCCCTTAGAAGTAAATCATCCCTATGAATTATAAAGGAAAGGATTCCCAAGAGAGAACCAATACAATCAGCCGATGACAGTTTCTTATGAACTAACTGATTAAGTTTCTCTCTTACTCAACATCTATAAAACCTCCAAATTTCTATCTGACATTCAGTCTCAAGGGAAGCATTTAATTGTAAAAACTAACTCATTACCACTGGTACCTATTTACCAATATATTACAACAGGGGAAAAAAGTGACTTAGTCAAAATCCAAAAGAAATACTAGCCAAATAATAACTCGGTTATCAGAAACAAAATATATTTTACCTGCTCTGGCAATGGCATATAGCCTCTTTTCTCCATGAAGGGTCCAACAGTTGACGAACTAGCGTGAGCCATCAAATGCTCAGGAATTTGCTATAAAATAAAAACAAAATAATTGTGTTTATCAATCTTATACTTTTATACCAAAAAAGTGAAATTTTAATTCCTAATTTCAAAAGCATTAAGCAAAGCATTACTCTTTCTATAAATATTCTTAATACTAAATTCAATGCCCTACAAAGTAGTTGTCAAATCACAGAATTTTTTATCTACATAACTGTCATACAAGAAATTTCATCAGAATTAGTAGTATTACAAATTTTAACAAGACACAAATGAGACCAAGTTTGGTTCTTTATATGAAAGACCATTCAAACCATAAATTTTATAAGAAATATATCAAAAGTATTTAAAGACTTATAAGATGAATTCTTGAGATTATCCATGAATCATACCACATTCTAAGAACTACCAGCCGTAATGCTCCATCAACTTAACAAAAACATGAAATTCTGGAGTTCCCCAAATTCTCTACAAAGCCACTACTCATTGTAAAAATGTGGTGTTTTTAAGACCATCTGTGAGGCCACAGACCTGAGAAGCACATTCTATGAACCATCTGAGATCAACAATACTCACGATGGTCTTGAGGGACCCAAAAGTTGTGATGGCCTGGCGCAGAGCAGTTGTGTCTGCTTCGAAAAGTAGAACAGTCGAATCTTCAGGTTTGAGAGTCAAACTTCCCAGTCTAGAGAAAAAAATTCTTAAAGAATATCTATTTCAACTTCATCTAAAACAAAAGCCAAATTGTGATTGGAAGTGACTGTACTTTGCTAAGATTACCAAAGACAGATGATTTAACCATGCACCAAGTATAATATTAAAACTAGGAAGCAAGATGATCTTATCACAGGAACAGAAAAGTCAAGTTAAATCCAACCCATGCAGTAAGTCACAAAACTGACTATTTTTAATACACCCAAGTCAAAAAGCTAAAAATCAAAACAAAACAGTCTTTACCTCTCCAGGCACAAAGAGACTTGATTGGCTAGATCTTTGTTTTGGGTGCATTCCAGTTGACGAATAAGACAATTGAACTGGCCCAGTAACTATAAGAAAAATGAAACCATCTAGCCACAATGATACTAAAAGTACCAAGTGTATCCAAGTTAACAAACAGTACCTGAAATTAAACTTTTGTCTGATGTATATATTAAGGCTACAATGCAGGAAAGACATTCTCTAGAAACCAGAAACCATACTCAAACCAACCATAGCCTTGCAGCCATCTTACCCAGTAGAGCTGTTGGGCCTGCTGCTGAAGTGTCTCCTCTTTAAGCTGATAGATGAGATCTACCTGTTCATACAACCATACCTCACGGCTTCGAAGGCATTCCAAGTGACGGCTTATGCAGCTGTGAATCTGAGCTTTGATCTAGGAAACACATACATATTAGCTTCACTAGTTAAGGCCAAAGAATATATTTCCCACAGAACAGTGAAGTTCTTAAACTTTTGGGAGTCACAAATCCTCTTGGCTCTCCAATGACATCTACAGAAAATCTCTCCAGAAAAATGCATAAACTCAAAATTGTGCCTATAGTTTCTGGGTTTAGTATGCCAAAGGCCCAAGGACCCAGTTTAAGAATTCCAGCCATAAAGGCATACCCTATGCTCTAAAATCCTCCTACCATACTTCTCCTAAGAGGATCAGGTTTACTTTCAGTATCCTAAAGAAATCAAAAGAAAATACAAGAATAGGTCAGGTAATGCTGATCCCCCTCAGTTTTTTTCTTTATTTCTTTCTCATCCCACAAATGAGCAATCAATCCATTTACAGTAAGTCACTTTAATAAAGAGATGTGCCACTGCATGTCAATAACCAGAGACTACTAGGGTAGACAGTTTAAGCAAAATTGTAAACTAAATGTTTCTGGAAACATAAATAGTGATTCAAAGGGAGGTAACTGTAAAAATCCTAAGAAAAAACCAAAACAGCTAAAAATCTTCCATAAGAATCTACATTTTTTAAACACTATTTATAACATTTTTCTATATATCTTATTTTTCGGACTATAAGACACACTCCCCCAAAATTTGGGAGAAAGTGGGGGGTGCATCTTATAGTCCCAATGTAGCTTTACATTTACATTGGTGAAATACTATGTTATTTATGTTATTAACTATTTTACATTTTTTTGCTTCAAAAATTTTCCCCCATTTTTCTCCTCTAAAACCTAGGTGTATCTTATGGTCCAAAATGTAGTGATATAGTTGTGTTTCAAAGTCATGTAATACTACTTGGTCTATCCACTTACAGACAGAATACTATTAAGCCTACACGACAAACCTGGGCCAAACAGTCCATGTGGTTTCTTCCGTAAAATAAGAGACACAACTTCTGGGCAAGATGGAGGCATAGGTGGAAACACTGTGCTTCCTCGCACAACCAAAATTAAGGACAACAAAGATTTAGAAACAAAAACACAACCAGAACAGACAGAAAATTGAACTGTACGGAAGTCCAATAACCATTCATCCAGACTGGTAAGAGGGGTGAAGTCAGTGGCCAGGGGCGAGGGACTGCAGCAGGAAAAGGTGATGGCTGCCAGACCCAGGAGCACAGGCGGTGTGGAGCTGACCTCAGTCATACATTCATTCGCAGATAAACTAGGCAAAAACGGGCAATGAGAGACCGCACAACCCAGGGCCCCATCGATGGGAAATAAAGCCTAAAAGCATCGATTGAAAAGGTGCCAGGAGAGACTCCCAGCCTCACAGGAGAGGTTCATTGGAGAGACCCACAGGGTCCTAAAATGTACACAAGCCCACCCACCCAGGAACCAGCGTCAGAAGGGCCCAGTTTGCTTGTGGGAAGCAGCAGAGGGGACTGAAATCCAAAAGACAGCAGAGCAAGAGCCACTGTTCCCTCTCTGACCCAGCCCCCACATACAACATCACAACAAAGCAACTGGGTTGCCCTGCCCTGGTGAACACCTAAGGCTCCGCCACTCATACATAACAGGCATGACCTGACCAAAAAATTATGGCTCAAACACAAGAACAAATCAAAGCTCTAGAGCCGATATGTCTAAGTGATCAAGAGACAGCCAACCTATCAGATGCACAGTTCAAAACACTGGTGATCAGGATGCTCACACAATTGGTTGATTTTGGTTGCAAATTAGATGAAAAAATGAAGGCTACACTAAGTGAAATGAAGGAAAATGCACAGACAACCAATAGTGATGGGAAGGAAACTGGGATTCAACCCAATGGAGTGGACCAGAAAGAAGAATAAAACAACCAAACAAAAGAATGAAGAAACAGAATTAAAAAAAAAATGAGAAGAGTCTTAGGAACCTCCAGAACATCTTTAAATGTTCCAACATCTTAATTATAGGGGTACCAGAAGAGGAATAGCAAGAAGTGGAAAACTTATTTAAACAAACAATAAAAAAGAACTTCCCCAATCTGCCAAAGGAAACATGTCCAGGAAGTCCAGGAAGCTCAGAGAGTCCCAAAGAAGGTGGACCCAAGAAGAAACACACCAAGGCACATCATAATTACATTAACCAAGATTAAAATGAAGGAGAGAATTCTAGAAGCAGCAAGAGAAAAGGGGACAGTCACCTACAAAGTAGTTCCCATCAGACTGTCAGCTGATTTCTCAAAAGACACCTTACAGGCAAGAAGGGGCTGGAAAGAAGTATTCCAAGTCATGAAATGCAAGAACCTACACCCAAGATTGCTCCATCCAGCAAAGCTTTCATTTAGAATGAAAGGGCTAGGCCCTGGCTGGCGTAGCTCAGTGGATTGAGCGCAGGCCTGCAAACCAGCGTATTACGGTTCGATTCCCAGTCAGGGCACATGCCTGGGTTGCAGGCCAGTTCCCAGCAGGGGACGCATGAGAGGCAACCATACATTGATATTTCTCTCCTACTCTTTCTCCTTCCCTTCCCTTCTCTCGAAAAATAAATAAAAAAATATATATATATTTAAAAAAAAAAAAAAAGAATGAAAGGGCTGGTAAAGTGCTTCTCAGATAAGGTCAAGTTCAAGGAGTTCATCATCACCAAGCCCTTATATGAAATGTTAAAGGGACTTATCTAAGAAAAAGAAGATAAAAACTATCAACAGTGAAAGGACAGCAAACTCACAGTTATTAACAACCACACCTAAAACAAAAGCAAACTAAGCAGAAACCAAAAATAGGAGTGGAGCCACAGAAATGGAGATCACATGGAAGGGTAGCAACAGGAGTAGGAGGAGTAGAGGGGAGGAGAAGGTACAGACAATAAGTAGCATAGACAGTGGGGAAAAAATAGACAGGGGGAGGGCAACAGTAGTATGGGAAATGTAGAAGCTAAAGAACTTATGACACATGGACATGAACTAAAGGGGGGAGGGGTGTGCAGGGGGGAGGGGAATGAAGGGGGGAAATGGGACAACTGTAATAACATAATCACTAAAATATATTTTAAAAAAGAGACACATTTTTCATTTTCACCAATAACTTTGATTTGGTATTTTGAGTACGTCAGCTATCTCCTACATAGTAAATGTCAATTGTTCTCAATTAATGTCTTGATATGATCATTGTTAACTTTAACTGTTCTACCTGGCCATGAAGCATCATCCAGCAAGAAATCTCCATCACAAAACTTCGCAAACCACTTCTGACATGTTCCATCACTAACAGCACCTTCTCCGTACAATGCAAAAATTTTGTGTTTCAGTTGCATTTTTACCTTTCTTGAAATAATAAAGTATAATATGCTGAAAATGTTGCATATTTTCTTTTATCTTCAGTATTAAAATGGCCACATAAAAATGCACCAATTTTCTTTTAATGAAAAAAACAGCCACCAAGTGAAAAAGATAATAGGAGAAAGGATGTAGTGCCATCATTTATGCTAAGGACACAGATGAGCAGTACAAGTATACTGCTCATCTTTTTATTTTATTGATAGCAGTGATTGGCACAGGGACCACACCAAAGAGCAATAAAAAATGCATGCTGAACTAATTCTCTAAGGTGGTACAAGGTTTTCCAGACTCTTCTAACATCTGCTTTATTTACCTTTAAAATCAAAGACATCAACACTTCAGGTAAACCACGTGAGACATGGGGTGAAACTTCTTGGTTGGCATTGAGAAGCCAAGTCCTTGGCCATGCTCTAACCATCCCTGTCCTAAGAGTCCAGACATGGCAAAAGAAAAGCACATATCATACCTCTCTCAAGTTATCTTTAATTTGCTGTTCAGCCCGGAGAACTCCACCAATAGCAAGCTCCAAGTCCCTCTGTGCATCACAACACCTCAAAAGGGGTTCTCTCTTATTGGAGCCATTCTGGTCCTGTGAAATACTCATTCTGCTCACTGTTCCTTTAAAAGAAAACAAAACAAGAACAATCCAAATTGCACCACAGTTACAACCCAAAACCACCTTTTAATAATCTCCCAATGATCACTTCAACCAGCTCCCATTTACTTAGATTACTTCCAACACAGGACCTGGCACATAGTACACTCTTAATAAATATTGCCTCCTCTCCCTGCCCACCACTATTGTATTCCTGCCATAAAATCCTATGCATCTACTTTAGTGACACTTTTACATGTGAACAGGTATATCTGAAAAAATACAGCAATTTTTTTTTAATCAACAGTTACAAGAACATTAGAGTGCACGTTTCTAGTTATAACACACAGAAAGTCACAAGGGGTATGTGTTCTTGTTTCACAGATTTAGAGGTCCATAATTACTTTGAAAAAAAAGCTGCAAAAGAAAAAGATTGATATCCCTGGCTGGTGTAGCTCAGTGCATTGAGTGTGGGCCTGCGAACCAGACAATCGAGGTTCAATTCCCAGTCAGGATACATGCCTGGGTTGCAGGCCGGTTCCCTGCAGGCCAGTTCCCAGAAGGGGACGCACAAAAGGCAACCATACATTGATGTTTCTCTCCCTCTCTCCTTCCTTTCCCCTCTAAAGATAAATAAATAAAATCTAAAAAAAAAAAGAAAAAGATTGATAAACAATTTAGAACATTGTTTAGATCTGACATTTACCTAAATTTGTTGAGAGGACAGAATTTTTATTACCTCTTTTTTATGTGCTTTTTAAAATTTAGAAGTAACTTAGGGATGGCTTCATAGCTAGGAAGCTCTCAAGAACATAAATCTTCCCTAGTTGGTGTGGCTCAGTAGACTGAACACCATTGCAAACCAAAATGTCGCCAGTTCAATTCCCAGTCAGGGAACATGCCTGGGGTTGCCAGCCAGGTCCCCAGATGGGGAAAGACCAGAGGACTCCTATCGATGTTTCTCTCCCTCTCTTTCTCCCTCCATTCCCCTCTCTTTAAAAAAACAAATAAATAAATCTTTAAAGGTGTGCTTCTAGAAAGCCATTTCAAGAAAAACAAAATAAATACTTTTGCATAGAATTTTGACATATAGGAGGTACTTACATAAATTAGTGAGAGTTCTCTAATAAGCTTCGGTTTACAAGAGGTAAGAAATATAAGTGGAAAGAATAGCACATAAGGAATGATATGAGACAGGGCCAGAAGAGTGTCAGAAATGCAATGAAGCAAAGCTTGACAGAAGCCACTGGTGTCTATCCTGGAGAGATCTAGAATCAAAGATGGTTTTTTAAACACTCAGAAATAAAGAAAGCAGTGATCACTACAGCCCAGCATGGGTTCAATAAGCCCCAGGACAATGAAGTTATTTCCACTTTGGATAGTTTCTCTAAATTGGCTAGTCAATGTAATATTGTAGGTATGATATATCTAGACAACAATAAGACCTGTGACAAGACTATCTTTGTGCTAATCCGCTATGTTTGTGGACAAAGTGAATATGGGCTAAAGAGAAACAATTAAATTAAATCAAATTTTTTTTACAAGGTACTGAAAGGATAATGGACTGAAGCCAGTCTGTAGATGTTAGAAGTATGTCCCTGTTTTCCCCAGCTACTTAACTGTTTTCCCTAATAACTTGGATGAAAACATAGGAGGCAGACATTTAAGTTAGAGATAGCATGGGGTTGTGAAAGAGATTCCAAAACAATTTCCACAAAGCTGTTAATCTTATAAAACAAAATGTAAGTATTTTGAGTTTTAATGGGGGTGGGGACAAAGTAGAAGAGAATAAATATTTAAAAGGATGGAAATTTTTAACTGAAAGTGAGCCCTATATAAGGTAGCAGTGCCCTGGATCTGAGGAGAAAATAACCTACACACTCACTATTCGACTCAATTCATCAAATCTATACTGCTTGTCACAGGACTAATCTGGTCCATGTTTATTGGGCTATATTTGAAATTTCTTTCTGAATAACATACTTTAGAAAGAAACATTTAAAAAAGGGAAAGATGCCTCAAAACCAAGAAAAATTTCTCCAGAAAGAAAGCTGTTTACCCTTGATAAGAGAAGTCTCTTCTCAAATGTTTGGAGATATAGCAAAGAATTAAGCATGTTCAGAATAGCCCAAGTAGGGGAAAGAGGAGGATTAATAGGAGACACCTGAGGCAATATATGAAAGAACTTCCCAACAGTCTTGAATGCAGTGACCTCAGAGAAGCCAGCCTTGAACTGAACAGCAGCCTACCCAATGTAGTCCTTGAGAATGGCTGACTGCTCCTCTGAAACAAAGGAAACTCTGGCTTAAACTCCATCTTCAGACCTAGCTTCAGGGCCAGGTGGCTAGGTAGAAGCAGGAAAGGGACAACTGTGTGATTCTCACTCTCAAAAATAAAACAGCGAGGGGAAGAAGCCCAGTAGGCTTTCTTTTGACCATCTCAGCAAAAGATTCACATTCAAGAACTACAGACTTCCTATATGAAGCAAAAAAATTCAGCAAACTTTCTAACTTTCCCTTGTCATTTTGTTACCTCAGTCTGTTGCCCCATGATTTCCTACTGTCCTTCCACCTTCCAAAGAGGATTGCCCTAAATACATTTTTTGAAACAATGTTAAAAGATTAACCACTTTCTTATAACTTCCCTGCCTCTAGGATTCCTGTCCCAGACTTTAGGGAGTGGGAAGAAAATGGGAAAAACACACATACCTTTCAAACAAGTTTTCCTGGAGCTTTCCTTAAAGAGGACTTAACAAACTATATATGTCATATTTGCACAATGTTTTGCACAAATCTAGTTATAAAATCATAGAACCAGAATTAAGCAACTAACCACAAATGGAGCGAAGTCACTGTCATATGGTTTAACCATAAAATTTCCAGAGTTATGACCCACTTGTAACTGACATAAACCACAAGGTTGGAAAAACAGTTACTATCTCTTTAGTACACTACTGTGTACTATTGTATAGATGTACCAATTTTATAGATGAAGGCACGAAAAGGCCCAGATAGTTTAAATTATCCATTGGAAGGGCCACAGCCATTAAGGGGAGATTTGGATCAAGTCCTAGATTCTCTCTCCCTGGCCAACTTGTTCCTCCTTTGCTGTTTTACCACCCATAAATTATTTTTATTTACGAATACTAGAATTTAAAATTAGCATTCCAAAATTAGCATTCCAATTACCATTCAAACAGTCACATTTTGGGGTACTACTAGAATAACTTCCATTAAGATTCTCACCCATTTTCATAGCCCTAATTAAGTTATGACAATTTTTCAGAACCTTCTTCCTTAGATAATGCTAACAAAATAAAGTGCACCTTTGCATGTCAGAATAATCAAAAACACTGCCAAATACCAGTGCTTACTTAGTATGAAGGACAGGAACAATTGCCCAGCCTCGATTGTGATCTCCTGTATCACTCAGTTCCATTTGTCTGCCTGAATAAAGGCTTGGACCAGATCATCTCTAACTACAGCTTCCCACTCTGTCCCACTTCCCTCCTATCCCTCCTTTCCCCCTCCCCCCACAAAAAGCCTTTTAATTTACTTTCCTGGCATCTGAATCCTTGCTAAAAGCCTAAGCCCTCAAAACACAATCCACAAGATACCTATTGTTCTATGGATTACTAAATTTGAAAAACTGCCAATTTGGTTATCTCTGATAAGGCAAAATAAGTTTACTGTTGTACCTGAAAATTTATTCTTATATTATTACTTATTAACTATTGTACTGTTTATTTGTATTACAGATGTAAACCTACTTCTTCCCACCATGTATCTGACCATATGTACAAATTTTCAGGAAAAAAATTATAAAAATTAATATTCCACATTCAATTTTACCATGAGACATTTCTTTTTCACTTCAGAGGTTCCTTCACTTAAAAAAAAAAAAAAAAAAGATTTCTTTGTACCACATTCATTAACTCAAGGGTTACATATATCTTATCTTGGCCCCAGCCCACTTTTAATCCTTTACTAAAACAAGTTTCTGAAATTCAGGATCTAATTATCCGTAATTTTTTAAATTTGATTTATTCTCCTTATTAACAGAGGCGAAGGGAGGGAGAAAGGGAGAAACATCAATGTGTGGATGCCTCTGGCGCGCCCCCGAGCAGGGACGTGGTTTGCAACCCAGGCGGGGGCCCGCACAGGAATCCAACCAGCACTGGATTAGGAGGCCGGCGCTCAATCTACTGAGCAACACCAGCCCGGGCTAATTATCTGTTAACTTTTTTTAAGCCATGCAAATAATTAATTCTTTAAACAAAATAAGCTAATAATAAATTCACAAGAGCATACTTTTTACGGTTAACACTTCAGAGGATTACTGCGCTCAGATTTGTCTACCTTTATAAAAGTAACTATGAGCAATCAATTCCAGCTAATCAACTTTCCGGAACAGTAGCTGAAAACTGACAAAATTGGTCTTTAACAACTAGTGCCAACTAAAGCTTATCTAGTTCAAAGGCAACAGTGACTCACGTAACTTTCACCTGTTCCCTAGCACTTTCTTAAGAGCCACAGTCTCTCTACAAAGCCTCCGGTCCTATGCTCTCTAGAAACTGCTCAAGACACTCGGCATCCGAAATGGCGCGGTCTCCGCTCAGCACGCATGCGCGCAGCCGCAACTGCAGGGCCCCGGAAGGCCGGTCGACCCCACCGAGACCGGGCCCGGGAAGGGCTCTCGTAGCTATCCTGACCGCCGAACATACCTCAGAGGGCCAGGTCTCCACACCCTGAGCAGCCCCGAGAGCACAAGGCTAGGGAACGGTCTTCGTGCCCGAGGATTACGCCCCAACCCCCTCAAGAGCTCGGCTGCGACTATCCACACGCCGGAGTGCGCACGTCAGCACGGGGGCGAAGGGTCCGCCCACTCCGCCTGCCCTTCAACCTTCCAGGCAGCGGGACGCCCCTACCCTTCAGTAACCGGCAGGTCAAGGAAGTAGCTGCAACAATGCCTGAACTCGCAGCTAGGCGCCTCCATCCCCGCCTGGCCACTGAGCGTGTAGCGAGTTCGCAGAGCCTGGGGACGCGTCTCCTGCCTCTCTTGCTCCAGCGTTTGGCGTGGGCCCACCCACCCCTCCGCACTCGAATTGTCAAGACGTTTATGATTTAAGGATTTTGCTGCTAATCACTACAGAGAAGTAACAAACGTGGGGCAGTCATAAGCTTACCGAATTATTATTGTAATGTTCCTGGGTGATGGTTTGTGACTACCTGAGATTATCACCGTCAGCCCAGCTGGGGTTCAGCTCTCGGCTTTTGTTCCAAGCTGTCAGACGTATCACATCTCTGACACACCTGCCAGTGACCCCCAACTCCCTCCACCCCACCCCCTGGGTCTCTGTGCTTGGTTCCTTCTTTCTCATACACACACACTCCTACACACGGCCTCAGTCCGGTGCTGTTTTAACACTCATGGGTACTTTTCATTAAACCAGGAGTGTTAAAACTCATTTTCACAGGAGGCCACATCAGCCTCGTGGTTGCCTTCAAAGGGCCAAATGTAATTTCAACTCCTTAACAGTTAAGTAGTAGTTACATTTATACAATCCCTAAAATTATTCTGGCCCTTTCAAGGCAACCGCGAGGCTGATGTGGCCCCCGGTGACGAAACAAAAGTTGACTGAGCATCTTCCAGATGCCAAGCACTATTCTAGGTGATGTGACTGCAGAAGTAAAATTGAGAGCCCTACCTGGAGAGACAATAATACAATGCACAATCGTTAAGAATAAGATGGCCCCATTTGGGTACAAAACCTGGCTCTGTCACTTAGATGCTTTGTAACCAACCTGTGTCTCAGTTTCCCATCTGTAAAATGGAGACAGTAATAAACAAACTCAATGACATTTACATGAATTAATATGTATAAAATTGTTAGGATAGTGCCTGACACACATTAGTACTTTCTCTCTGATGATTATCATGTTCATGGTACTCCAATCCGGCAGGAGACAAAATCTAGACAGCAATGCCATTCCCTTTCAATTAATTTTTTAAACGGAAAGTATTTGCTTTTGTCTATGCATATGAAACTATTTTTGTAAATAGTAAGAGTAAAGCAAAACAACATGACCAAAAAACGAAACACTAAAGACCATCATCCTCAATTAAGCATCCCTCAGATTTCAGAGGAATAGAGTTAGTTTAGGAGCCTGCTTTACCTGTGATGCACAGCTTCTTGACTCCCATTTCAGACATTTGGTACCAAAAATAATGAGAAAACAATTTCTCTCTTAATTCAAAATATGTTCATTAAGTAACAGTTTGTGAAGATACAAAAAGAAAAAAGAAAAGAAAAACTAGCTATGCCTCTGAATGATGAAAAGTCAAAAATTTATGGGCCTTTGTACTTTTAGTCAATGGCTAGAAAGAAGAAATGTTCAACTTATTAAAATAAAATACAGTTGATACCAAGAACTTTCATCTCTCTTTCATGTGCCCCTATAAAACAGTCACAATATTGACCATCACCTCATAACCAATGGGTCACCTCAACCAAGGAGTCTCATGCCCCTTCTAAAAGATGACCAATGCTTCCGCATACTATACGCTCCAGCTCTCCCCTCACTTGAATTCCCACTGTTACACAATTACTGAGAGTCAGTGATTACTCTTTCAGCTTAAGCCAGCTTTAGCTGTTACTACAATATAATGATGTGATGTGATTTTTAAAATTTTATATTAGCAATAAAAGACTGGGGAAAAAATCTATTAGAATTCTGCATTCAGGCTATTTTGCAGGCACTTCTTTACTCCCTTAAGCTGCATTATTTGCCCTTAGATCTCTGTAAAATGTTTAGGTTCTAAGGGGAAAAGATTCACAAAGCATATTATTCTTCTGCTTCAAGATTTCTACAGCTCATTTCATAGTAGATCAACTCATCTAGAGAGAGCCCAAACTTTAATTCTTCAATGGCTTCACACTTAGAAGATAAAGTCCAAATACCTTATAAGGCAATAAAATTCTCTATTTTCTGGCTTCAGCCCAACTCTCCTGCAGTTTCCCCAGAGCAACCCCCATACCATGATCCACACAACTTTACCATGCAGAGTCCAGGCTGGCTCACCTTATCCAGCTTGGCTCTCCCACTCGCTGCTAGCAATGCTAATTCCTTCCTATCTATCCACTTTTCTGACTATGCTCAAGTCACAGCCATTACTAAACCTTTCCTGACTAAAGCACCCCATTCCTCAAGTTTTGGCCAACAGAGTTAGCTGATGCTTCCTCTGGGCCCACTGTAATCTGTACAGGTTTCCAGCATGACATCTTTAACATGTTAGTTACCCTTATTGATAAAGGCCTGCCTCCTTAGCCTGAGAGCTCTCCAGGAGAAGAGACTGTGTCTTACTTGGCTTTATACATCCTAATACTTAACAGATGGCCTGGTATCAGCACTTTGGCATTCCCAATAACCTCCACATCCTGTGTGCACTACTGAATTGATGGAAAAAGAATGGTGTTCCTGCAATTGTGCAATGTTGTGGCCCTAAACTGAACAAAGGCTTAATACATGTTTAATAAACGGATGGGTAGATGAACGATAAATGCTTAAATTCAGACCAGCCACAATAAGTATGGTATAACTCTGCTTTAAACATAGTCAACTCAGTATCCCACTAAGTTGCTCATGTGGCAAACACAAGGCCCCAGGGCCGAATCTGGCCCTCCACCTTGTTTCTAGCCCAGGGGCAGTGCCGAGCTCTTGTTTAACTGTTAAGGAGTAGTTACATTTACACAGTCCTAAAATTACATTCAGCCCTGTGAAGGCAACTGCAAGGCCTACGAGGCCTCTGGTGAAAATGAGTCTGATACCCCTGCATGACTAAGGCCTTCATTAGATCAGGAAGTTTTTTTCAGAAGTGGAAGTGTTTCTAACTATTACTTTCAGTTTTCTTTCAAACAAGATAAAACCGGCAAGGTTTCTGGCACTGAAACCATGATTCCAGGATAGACGCTAAAATAAAGTGTTTTTTCTGATGCCAGACCCATCAGAGCTTAGCTAAACAGATCCACAGGCAACAGGAGGTTTGTCAGTTAAAGGGGAAACATTACTGTATTTACAGCCATCTCTGGATTTTTTTTTCCTCAGATTTTCAGTGCTACAGACATTCCGACTGACTTCACAGAAGTTTGGTAGGCTTTTAGAACTGGGACGCATCCTAACTTCAATTTGAAATACTTCTCACCATAATATAGTCAAGGATAGAAAAACATGTTATTTATCTATCATTGCAGTAATAATACCACTTTATCCACGATCTTAAACAGTAAGCATCTTGTGGTTTTTTCCCCACATAAGTAAACATGTGATAAAATAATTTCCTTCCTCTAAAGCCTGGGGGACTAGCAACAATCCAAAAATAAAACTCAATGTAAATCCAAGATTACGTTCTCATAAACTCTATAATCATCCAAGTATTAAAAGACTTCATTTCTTATCTCTGACCATATAGACAAGCAAAAAGTTTAACCTGCCCTTGCTGATGGCTCAGTGGATTGATCACCAACCTGTGAACCAAAGGGTTGCTGGTTCTATTCCCAGTCAGGGCACATGCCTGTGTTGTGGGGCCAGGTCCCTGTTTAGGGCACCAAGATGCAACCACATACTGATGTTTCTCTCCCACTCTTTCTCCCTCCCTTCCACTCTCTCTAAAAATGCATAAATAAAATCTTTAAAAAAATAAAAATTTTAACCTAACTTGTCAGTTATCCACTCCTTCAATGAACCAAATTGCTACATTTAGTTATTACAATGTTATGTATTCATTCAACAAATACTTATTGAGTGCCTGAACTGACATATACTGTGACAGTCCCTGAGGACATAATGGTGAACTTGCCATCTAGAGCCACCATTTTCAATTGTTGTGCCTTGGCACACTGGTGTGCCACAAGAATTTTTAAAATATACAATACCTGACTATTTAGTCAGGAGCACTGACCTCTTTTCCCTTAGATTATCAAATAAAAAAAAATTTTTAAAGACAACAGCCAACACAACAATAGCCATCCAGTGTGAATTAATCAAAATTATACCCATTTGTCAGAGAGGCAAAAAAATTTTTTTTGGTGTGCCATAGAATTTTAGTAATTAGTTTATGTGTGCCATGAGATTGAAAAAAGTTGAAAATCACTGATCTAGAGAATTTGTGTCACCGATTCACCAAAAACTAAGCAGAAAATACTAATTCTATGAAATAAGAGACTGGGATTTAAAGCTCCATCAACAGCAGTAAGTGGCTCCAAATGTCTTCCTGTAGGCTCACAGTTACTCTATGGGCAAATTATAAAACACTAGCCAATAGGTTCTCAGATGGGAGGAAGGATATGTGTCAAAATATCCTGTTCAATTTTTTGAAGCCCCTACACAGGCTCCGGAGAGTCTAGCACAGCTAAGCTCATTTAATAAAGTGGGAATGCAGTGGGGATACCTAAAATATCTACTCCCCCTTTGAGAAGCACATCTTCCTTTCCTTACACAACTCCCCATACTTTTCCACCTTTGAAACACCTGTTTGCCTAAAATTAATAATGCAAAGGTCTATTTAGACCCAACATATCATAAAACTTTAGACCTCTAAGATTTTTCCCTAGAGACCCAAAGAACAAAAAGTTCCATACAAGAAGGGGAAGGAGAAATAAAATAGAAATGTTACCGTGACAGTCTTTACATATATTATCTCACTTAATTATCGTAACAAACCTGCAAGCTAGAAAGCCTTGGAAAGTGCAAATGCCTAAGCCATAAAGTACAGGCACCCGCCCGCACCTCCACTGTAGCATCTAGGTTAAGTCTTCTCCAAAGGCTCTGATGTTCTTAAAATTCACAAAAGTCACACTAGGATCGCGGTGCAGA